TCTTACTTATATGGGGTAACATGGAATTACACAAGCAAGTCACCATCATGTAGTTCTCCTGTACCCACTGGGAGCAATTAGTCTCAGGTTTCTTTTCTTCACCGGTGGCATACCCTAATTTCCCACAAGTTCCAATAGCTATTTTTGCAAATTGTGACCATTCTAAGTAGTTTGTACCATCCAACTTGACTGTAGTGATGGTCTCAACCTTGAAGGTATCACCAACACCTCCTCCACCTAGACTCATTTCACCAACAAATTTGTTGTCAACTCCACAACCCCCCATAACTCTTGGAACAGATTAGGAAATCAATTTGAGATGAAAAGAAAGAGATTTATCTCCTTTAGAAACCTCAAAGATCTTCTTGGTACCCTAGAAGCCCCTCCCTCCAAAGATTCCCTTCTCCATGGGAGCAAGGGAAGAAAGAGAAGAGGTTGCCACTCCCTCTAGAGGCCTCCAAAAAGGCTGGGACTTGAACCACCCTCTTTAGAAAAACTCAAGAAACCCTAAAAAACCAGAGTGTCACTTCCTAGGTCAAAATTAAAGAGTCCTAGTAAATCAAGACTCTTCCCCTTTTTCCAGTTCTTCTTGATTTTGGTATTAAACCCTAGACTAGCTACAAGGGATTGAAAATCCACCAAAAAGGTCCAAAAACTGGGCTTACCTGAAGTCCTCAATCAGCTCTTTACCTCATCATGCAGTCAGCTGATCTAGGGCTGCATGATGGAACAACTCAAACAATCTCTAAACTTACTCTGATACCAAGTAGAAAAGTGTAGAAGACCTGTTTTAATATAAAATCTATGTAGGAAAGAGAAAAAGAAAGAGAAATGAAGGTTTATACAAAGAAGAAAAGAGGAGAGAAATTGAAGAGAATGGGAGAAGCCAAAATTAGGTCTGGCCACCCCTTTCATTAGCTTATATACTCACAAATAAAACTGAATACAAAGACAAGTATGCCCTTAGTAACTCGGCTACTTGTAAAGTCTAAATAAACACTCTTACCTTAAACACAAACTAATGGGCCTTGGGCCCAATAACTCCCTAATTATGCTATGTAAATAAAAAAACAAGTGATATCAGCCCAAAACTCAACAAATATAAAGGAAGAGCTATGCAACTATATATTTTATACAAGTATAGATTGCTTGGAAAAGGGACCAAAGGGGAAAGTAAAATAACCTGGTAACAGGTCAGGAAGTTTAAAATTCTCACCTAAAGAATATTTTATTGTATCAAAGGTATTAATTAACTTGTCTAAGATACAGAACAGCAACCACTATTATAAACAGTACTAATCAGAATATCGAACTAAAGATACAATAAAAATCATACAATTAAATTCGTTCAGACTTCAGAAGAAAGATAGCCAGCACAACAACACAAAATTCCAAAATATCAAAAGAACAAAGTTACAACAAAAAATAAACAATTTTAACTTCATTCAGAGTTCAGGAGAGACAGACAACACAAGTTTTTTTCACTTCTTTTTCCATATCTCAACATGCAAAACAAAATTAATTGGGTTTTATCTAAGAAATTGGCACACCAAAAACCAGAGGGATTGGACAGCCTTTAACTTTCTGATTCTCTCTGTATCTCTCTATGATTTGTATTAATATGTTAATTTGAGGGTGAAAGACCCTCAAACTCCATGTACAAAAGATGCTTTACAACTGTATCAAAAAGCTATCTCAAAGCCATACATGAATCCACAGATAAATCAAAAAATAATTCCTCTCTTATAGTTTCTAAAACTGTTTATAGGAATACCATCAAACAATTAGAACTTCCCATTGTCATCAACTAAAGTAGTACAAGAACATAGGATGATAATCAGTTCAAGCAGTTTTTTGGCTGCTTAATCTTTTATCCAGGATCTATTCAACAGTCTATCCTGATCCTTCAAACTCGGAACATGAGCCAAATGAGAAGCTAAAATCACCTCATAATGGACCAGAAAGTTCGAGTTTCACTTAAAGAATATCTAGTTGCATATAAAAATACTCACTCCCTGGTGTCTGAAATTTAGAATAGCAAGCAGTCCATATAGGGAGTAACTAGATATGAAGATAAAAAGTAACAAAAAAAGTCAAACAGATAAACATCATTCAGAATTTAGAAGATAGCTAATTCAGACATCCACACAAATAACCAGATTATTAAAATATAGAAATATAAACAACTTCATTCAGAAGTCAGGAGAGAGAGAGAGAGAGAGAATACAAGTTTTCTTTTCCTTTTATTCCTATCTTATTCCAAGAAACAACATTAGATGGGGGGGAGGGCATAACTCAATATGAAGAATTGAAGACTACAATTAAATGGATTTTACTCAAGAAAATGACCACAAAATCAGCGTGACTAGACAATTTTTAATTTTCTAAACTATTTTTACAGTATAATAACATAGTTTGATAATCTGTTCAAACTAATTTTAGCCCTTATCATTTAGTTGGGATCCATTCAGGAGTTTGTCCTGACTACGGTTAGGGTGGAGGGAAGGTTACTGTATAATTCAGTTCTGAAAATCAATATTATGGTTATAAATTTGGTAGAAAAATGAAAATATGAAAACTGATCAAAAAATGAAAATATATAGAATAAGATAATTTGGTTATGTGCCTAGGAAGCCATCTACAGCACCTGTAAGAAGAAGCAGTCTGCTGAAAGTTCAGGGGGCTAGAAGGGATAGGGGCACACCAAAAGAATGCATAGGTTAAAGTAGTAAAAAATGATTTAAGTGCTCATAAGTTAATGGATATTACACCATGGTTCAAAGTAACAATACACTCAATGCACACGAACATGTGCATTGGGTGTTTCGGGTGATGACACTTTTATATATATTTTTTTAATTTCATATTTTTACAGGGGTTTTATAATACGATTGTTTAACATTTAAAAACATAAAAAATTGCAAAAATAGGCATTTCAGTGACCTGTCAGAATGTATGGATACTTTGAACCTTGTATGGTGCTAAACAGAACGGAATGACAAACAGGATTCATGTTACTGACCCCATATAGTTGGGATAAGGCTTAGATGATGATGATCAAAAAATGAAATATGAAAAGATCATAAACAAATATTTTTGTGCTTTGTTCATGCCTTATTTAAAAATAATATTTTTACACATAAACATATGTTTCTTTAAATGAATGATCATATAGTTACTTGATTCAACAATTTTTTATTAATCATTTCTGTCACGTAAAAGAATATTTTTCTGTAGGTTTTTTATTGTACATTGAAGTTAGGAGTAGACATAAAGTATAAACTAAGGAATAAATGATATTTATGGTAAAAAAGCACTTCCTTTGAGGCCATTTTTCTGGTTAATTGGATCCCATTCTAATAAAAAAGGGCAGCCCAGTGCACAAGGCTCCCGCCAATGCGGGGTCTGGGAGGAACAGATGTACACAGCCTTACCCCTGTACATACAGAGAGGTTGTTTCCAAGATTTGAACCCTGGTCACCCAGGTCGAAATGAAGCAATCCAACCGTTGCATCAAGGCCCACCCAAGGATCCCATTATAATGTTTATCTTTTTTCATATTTTAAAATATGAAGTTATAAACAATTGAAGCAACATGAATAACTAAGTAGGCATCTTTTACAAAACCTTTCGAGTGTTAATAGGATAAAACAATACTTCCTAACTTTTACCCCCTTTTAATCTTCTCTCCTATGATTTCTACCTGCCCATTTTGCATTACTCATTATTCCTCCCTCCATCATCCCCACCCCCCTCTCTTGGTGGAGGCAACATTTCTCCTTCCAACACAACTGTGCTGAAAAGAGCAAGATCCCTCCTTCCCACTCCAACTATAGCATAAAAAGGAATTTGAGTCTTTTATCATTCCACCAACTCCAATTATAGCAGTTCCAACCAAGTGCAAGGTAGAAAGATTGGGGAGGGGTTTCAATGGGGTTGTTTCTATTTTTTGTTAGTTTGCTTTACATGCCATATTTTTGGATAATACATAGAGGCTGTTTTGACTACAAATTGTGTATCTTTTAATATTTTTCAAAGTTACAATGTATTCTTTTTTGTCGATGAATTCAAAAATACATGTATACTACACATTATGCAAATTTACAAGACATGGTCCTAGCCCTCTAAAATGAGACAGAGAGAAAGTAATAGGGAATACAATTCCGGTATCCCCAAATCCACAACACCATCATTACCTAGTACTTCCTCAAAACATTAATAGAAGAACAAAACTGTTCTTCAAATATTCATGGTTAATGGAACAAAAAGAAACTGTACACCAGTTATCCATTTGTCATTATTACTAGGGAGACTAAATGTGAAGAATACCACCTCCCATCCATCCCCAAAGAATTAAGGTGTGGAAAGGTAAAACGGGGTACTTAGCACCAATACTATACATTAAACACTAATTTCTTACTTTGCATGGTAGAATAAATGAATATCACTAAAGATAACAGAGTATCATATGCGCTGAATAACTTCACATATTCATATAGTTTGATTTTATGATAACTTTCTCTTGAAAAAAAAAAGCATGATTAGAAAAAAGTTACCCTGTTAACTTTTATTTTCTCCAATGGAAAAGTAAAAACTGTTTTTTAATAGTTAAAGAAGTATAAACTGTTATATGAGATTCATATGCCATTTCTGTGTATTCTAATTATTCAACATTTTCATATTTGCTATAATTATTTTATTATGAGTAAATTATTTAAAATCCTATGGTATTAGGATCCAAATCCCAATATAATTAGAATCTCACTCCTTTCAGGCACCACATTGATTTAACTGCTTTATATCCTTTGGTTGCATCAAACTCTAATATTTTATAAGAAACACAATGTTATAAAATAAGCATACCTTTTATCTGAAAAGTTAAAGAAGAACAACAAAATCCCCAATAAAATTAGACCAGAGCCACTTAAGAAAAAGTAAAATTCCTTTAAATGAGAAAGTTGAAGAAAATAACATGAAGATGAAAGGGAAAGCAGCCTTACCATGGAGATGATCTTCCAATGATCCCAACGGCATATACTCATAGACAAGGAGCCTCTGGTCCCCATCCGCACAGTAACCAATTAAATTGACAAGGTTAGGATGGTGCAGAAGGCTGAGCATAAGAACCTCTACCAGAAATTCCCTGTTCCCCTGGAGACCATCTCTATCAAGCTGTTTTACAGCCACAACCTGCTAACAACAACCACACTTCAATCAACCTAAACAAGAAATGCTGAGATCAGCAGCTACTCAACCATAGTCCAGATGCAAGTCCGAGTACGTAGATACCACAGAAATTATTGGGAGATTTGGCGCTGCCACTTTTGTTAAACGAATCCGTTATCCGTAGGAATAAGATGTTGCAGAACCAAACAAGTTGAAATTGTACAAAATCTTTACCTGACCAGTGCTCTCTAGACGTCCTTTATAAACACGCCCAAATCCGCCTTCCCCCAAGAGGCATTCTTGCCTGAAATTCCTTGTTGCAGTTGCAAGCTCTCGGAAAGTAAATGTCTGAGCAGCTATATTAACATCAGGTCCATCCTTGGAACCCGACGATTCTCTTTTTGACCCTGTGTTGCCTCTTGATTTCAGCCTGTCAGCTCCTGCAAATCATTTAAGCAAGAAAGCAGAGAACCACGTAAGTACCAAAAAAGACTACATTATGCTGAAATGGACCTGCAAGCAAATATTGTTACCTCAGGAATTAAAAATACAATTACAAATATAATCCATTTCTGCCACGATAATAATACAAACATAATTGTGTGTCTCTAAGATGGAAATGCCCATTTCCTAAAATCGAAAATCATCTTATTGCATTAGGATATCATGAAATTCTCATGACCCAATTAAGTGTTACTGTCACTAGATGACTGAACATAAGTATTTGCTTTTTTTTTTTTGTAGTTTCAATCAATAAACCCTCAATCCTTCATTTTTTTCTTAATGAACATAAAAGTTACCAATCAGAACTAAAAGAGCATCCGAAACTATATTGAAATTTCATTACATAAAATGAATAATTCATGATAAACTCCTGATAAATTCTAAAAAAAAAACTTAGAAAAAACTGAATCAAACCTTAAGTTAAAAATTCTGATCAAACAACCAGTTAAATTATCCAGCAGATGATTTAAAAACAAAAGAACAAGTAGTGTCAGCCCAAATTCTCAATAGATCAAGTAAACCATAGAAACCCAGATCAGATCAAGCAAATTAAAAAAGAAAGTAATAGGTAGAAAAACTGACCTGAAGACAATCTGGAAACGTTAGAGTTCTCAGTTTGCTGCCTTTCCATCTTATCGTCTCTCCCCTTTTCCAGATTCATTTCCTCCTCCTCCCTTGAATCGAAGCATGAAAAACAACCCATGTCTCCAATCAAGTAAAATCCTTCTTTAACACCCCAAAAATCCGAACTTGCTCAATCTACCATGCTCTGCTATTTTCTCATTAAAATCCCGTTACAGTCTCAATCAAATTTCCTGGGTTTCTCTTTTCTCAGATCGGTCTGAAAGAAAACAAGAGAGGGCAGAAAAAGCAATCAAATCCAAGTTGAAGAATAACGAAACAAAGCTAACAAGCCAAGATACGTTTTGGTTTTGCTTCGTCGGGAGATGAATAGCAGAACAGTGCCGGCCAAGTTTTCGGCTAATGTACATGTATCTCCTCTTTTATAACAAGAATCAAATACTACATGCTTTTACTTTCTCTCTCGTATTTAAATATTTTTACTTCACCTTTATTTATTTATTATATTCATAGAGATATAACGTGCCTTTGAATTTGAAAGCCTTACTTTCCTGGTAGCCGCTATCCGGCCAAGGACCGGCAAAACGTGTCAGATCCCGGTGAACTGTGACTGAGTGACTCGAGTCTGGGAAGATTTTTTTATGACAAGTATTTTTTTCTCTTGTTTTTTTTACTGTTTACTTGTAGACGGGAGACATGTCTCCCATGTGTCTGAATTATTTTACTGTTTGTCTGTTGAAGTCATTGTGTTGGGTTGGTTTGCATTAGGTTAGGTGGCACAAACAAGATCTTAAACAAAGATAGGATAGGATGAGAAAGAATAGATATTACTGTCAATAGAGATTACAGATTCCTTGGGTAGTTCTAACTTCTAAGGTTCGATCCATCTATTGCACTGTTTGGTTCTAACTTACTTTCTAAGATTTAGACCAGATCCATTACCCCTCCAACTCTTCTGACAACAGGATTTGATCTGAAGTTTCAACCAGCCAACCAGCCAGAAAACTTACCAATTGAGCCACCGTCACTTGATTTTAAGGAGAGAGACGGAAAGTTGAGGGGAAGTTGTTAAGGATATTTCTGTTTTTCTCAACTTTCTCTTTCTATTTTTACTTTCCTGTCAAACCAAATTTCTCTAAATTTTGCTGCATCACGGCTCGGTAAAATACTAAAAATTGGCTTACCTCCAAAGGAAAGAAAAGGGCAAATTGGGCAATTGCAGATTCCACGCCCTCGTCCAGTCGTCCCCACTCCCCAAATAAGAAAAGGGGGAGATTTGTTATCATGAAGACCCGCCAGTCACTTAATATTGGAGAACCAAGGGGTATTTCATGGAACATGTCATGAGGAGAAACCTCCTTATGCTCAATCATATTCCTCTCCATGTATACAAGGGGATAGCCAACGAGTCTTTGTCTCCTTATGAATATCAAAGAATGAAATCGATGTAAGGAAAATTTCTGATTAGTACCTGTATTTTGTGTCTAATGTTACTTTAGTCTTCAAATTTTAAAATATGACAATTTAGTATCCGAACTTTTAAAACGTTATAATTCAGTACCTGTCATTAATCAACAGTTAATATGTTGTTAAAGTGATATTTGAAAAGGACACAAATGTCCTTTGGTGTCATTTAATTTTCTTTATCAACCATCTAAATATTGACAAAAAATTAACAGTCCTAAATCCTCGCTTCTTCCATTCAAGAAAGTTGGGGTTACGTTTGAGTAGACATTCTGGTGACCCCAACTTTCTTAAATAGAAGGGGCAAGGATTTGGAACTATTAATTTTTTTGTCAGTTTTTGAATAGTTTATAAAGAAAATTAGATGACACTCAAAGGGTATTTAATCAGCTAGTTAACAGCAAGTACTGAATTGTCACATTTTGAAAATCTGGGTAATAAATTATCACATTTTAAAGTTTGGGGACCAAAGTGCTAGACCCAAAGTACATGGCATTAATTTAGAATTTCCCCTTTTATTTATAGAAATGAAAATCCTTGGGGGGGGTGGGGGTTGGCTAATGTATGATTTCAGTTTTTAAGAGAAAAACAATTCCTATGTCCTTACATGCTAATCAAGGCAGTGTTTTTATATTGCCATTGACCCAAGCAATCGTACCGCTTGTCCTAGGAATTGTCCAGGCAACTGATTTCGTTTTACCCCAAACTTGGTCCCTGGCCAAAAACCATTGAATTGGTCAACAACCCGCTGACCTGGTTGTCAAAACGTTGACCCGTTAAATGAGTTTTAGCCATTTTATTTTATTTTTTTTTATTTTTTCATTAAAGCAAGTCATCCATTCAAACTAGGTGGTCAAACTGTCGACCTGAAAACTGGTGGCCAGAACGGTTCCAGTTCCAAGCCAATTCTTAAAACCTTGAATCAAGGTGATAATTGCATGTTTTGTGATATGTTTTATTTTGTTCAAATAATCAAACTAATTGATCTTCTTATTCAAAGATATGATACTCAATGACTGAATATGACTTCTTATATCTCAATACTAGCGGCCTAGCGGGGGCCCGTGTAATGCATGGGATGGGGAACCCCTCCTTGTCCCTCGCCCCTATAAGTCAAGACACTCTATTCCATCCCCGCCCAGACCCCAGTGGTGCGGCTGGTTCAAGGCGAGACACCCATTCCCCATTAGGGATGGAGAATCCCCAAATTTTCCCCACCTTGAGGCAACCACCTAAAAAAAATTAATTTATGGATATTTTACAAATAGGATTATGGGAATTTTGGGGTATTTTAGGAATTGGATTATGACAATTTGGGGATATTTTATAAACGAAATTATGGATCCTAAGATTATAAGAATATGAGGAAAACTTATAGATATTTTAAAAATCAATATTAAATCCACGAGTATTTTAGTAATTTACCATCAGGTTCGGGGAATTATATGCAAACCCCATCCCTAATTTGGGGCAAAAATATTTTCCCTATCCCCACCCTGTCTATGCCCCGTCCTCGTTTAAGATTTGAAAAACTTGCCCCGTTTAGGGTGAGGCAGGGTAGGGCCCCAGTTTTACAAGGAAAATTTCCATCCCTACAATTCTAATAATTTCTATAACTAAAGTAAATTAAATAACAATGAATTATAATATTTTATGATAATTTTCAAAAAAATATTGAAATTGCTATTGATTAGTAGTAATGTATAGTAAATTAATTAGTTACAATAGCTATAAATTAATGTAAATTATTTAATTTTTAAGCCTAAATTATTTACTATTAATCAGAGTAAATTTAATTATAGTAAATTAATATAATTATGGTAAACTACATTACTTTTAATTAAAACTAAACCATTTGTTATTAATTAATGTAAAACTAGGTATGAACAAAGTGAACCAAGTGGTCTAGATTAGTGTGGATAGACTTATAGTAATTTTCCTAAATTATTTAATTATTATTTAGTTAATAATAATAGATTATTATTTATATAGTTTTGGAGAATATAATTATTAGTTAAAGAGTTTCCCTAAATTATTTGATAATTGTTGACTATAATTATTGATTTTATAGAAATTAATACATTAAGTAATTAGTAATATTTTTTATCAATAAATTATTATTGTAAAATTTTAATGAAAAATTATTAAATTACAATGATTAATGTAAATTATGCTAAACATTGAGATTTTGAACATTTATTAATAACCAAAAATTATTAAATTATGGATTTTTATTAATTTTGGGTAGATTATTAAATTATTTAATATTTGTTAGATAATGGATTATTTCTGAAATAATTATTTCATAATTTTTGGTAGAATATTTTTTAGAAATTTTTAATAATTTTCATAACTAATGGATCATTTAACAATAGATTATTATTTAAGAATAGATTATTTAACAATAATGGAAGATGCCATGCATATATAGGAAACATCAAACTCCCCTTATTCCCCTCTATTTGCTCAAAATCAAGTCTATAGATATAAATATTGTTTGATTTGGAAAATCATATCTTAATAAATTATAGCCTCATTTTATGGGAAAGTAAAGAGAATAGAGGGGAATTAGAGATAGAAGTGAAGGAGATGATAAAACAGAGTTCACATCCCTGCCCCACAACGCCCCCACAGCACATCCCCGTTGTGTATTAAGAGCATTTCCCGATGATGACATCATCGGTTCTGATACATCATTGGGAGATGTTCTCAATACACGGCGGAGATGTGCTGTGAGATATTGTGGGGTGGAAATGTCATCCCGATAAAACATATATTGAGCTAATTAAGAAGAAAAGTTAAGTTGCTATAAAAAATAAGAGACGTGAATTGGGGGGGGGGGAGAGAGAGAGAGAGAGAGAGAGAGAGAACTCAATGGGAAGGAAAAAGAATGAAGCGAGAGAGAGTGGTGAAATGACAAATTGGGAGTGGTTGGAAGGGGGAGAGGATAGATAGATTTGGCGTTTTGGTGGATTAAAAAGAAAAAAAAAATACTTATACGCATTGTATAATATGCACCAATACGTTACTGATGATGAGGCTTTATGACTCCAGTCTTGTAAAAATCATGCGGAGGCAATTCGATCAATTCACATCACTTTGGAGAGGAATTTGGTAATTCCATAATGCCAACCACCTAGACACAATGCAAAGGGTTAAGGGGGAGGAAGTGAACAACCTAGGGAACCGTTACGAGATCCATTACTCTCATCACTAATGGCTCCCTCCCTAGTCCCTATAAATAAGCAAGTCTCCCAAATGTATAACTCTCTACGTACACAGTACACACCAAACACTACTCTCTTGCTTTCTAGTAACCTTGACTCATGCACCTCACACCTTTGCTTACTTATCAAAACTCTTCAGTTCGTTTATCATCTCTATCTCTAGCCCCTTTGTTAACTTAACCATAGAAGTCTCCGGCCCTAGCAAGAGCATCACTTTTGCGCACAGATGACCTCATAGTCATAGTCGTGATGTTTGGATTAAATTAATTCCAGTTTTCTCCTGCCGAACCGTGTAGGTGTAGCATCAATTAGATTAGATGTTTTGAACCTGTAAGCTAAGTCATTGTATCATCCAGGAAAGAAAACGTGCTTGTTATCTATATTATATTTTTATGTGCTTTTTGCTGTTTTCTTTCTACTACTAAAGGCAATCAGATTCTTTAGCTGGTTAATAGGTGAAGCTAGCCATGTTCAACATGACTTGTATATGTTATCAAAAGCAAACTTTATTAATTAATATTAGAATTCATGGCATCTGATTTGTTATTTCTTTCTTTTTTTACAATGCTAATGGGCATTACTCTTGCAATCGTGCATCATTAAACCAAAGAACATTTAAAGTGTACCAAAAGTTTAAAACCCTAAAAGAGGCCTATTGATAAATCTAATGGGTCGGGATGGATGTCTCAGTCTTGAGATGATTATTAATTGAGACAAATTACAGTCAAAATTGATGTAACCGTTTCTGGTCACGTACCATTTTTTTGTGATGTATAAATTTTTTTAGCTAAGTACCTCGTTATTTGACCCGGTGGTGACGTGCCTTGGTGATGAGCTACTTGGTGGCGAACTCCCTGGTGGAGAACTGCCTGGTGGCAAGCTCCCTGGTAGAGAGCTACTTGGTGACGAACTGCTTGGTGGCGAACTCCCAAGTGGAGAACTGTCCGATGGCGAGCTACTTGGTGGCAAACTCCCTGGTGGAGAACTGCCCGGTGGTGAGCTCCCTGGTGGCGAACTGCCTGGTGGCGAACTGCCCGGTGGCGAACTGCCCAGTGGCAAATTGCCCGGTGAAGAACTGCCCGGTGGCGAACTGCCTGGTGGCGAGCTCCCTGGTGGAGAGCTACTTGGTGACGAACTGCTTGGTGGCGAACTCCCTGGTGGAGAACTGGTGGGTGGTGAGCTGCCTGGTGGCGAGCTCCCTGGTGGCGAACTCCCTGGTGGACTCGTCATTTGACCTGCTCCTAGGCGGCCTGCAACTCAGAGGATGGTGGAGCTCCCTGGTGCAGCGCAACCCGACTACCCTCTGCGTGAGGTGATTTCCTCTCCTTTGAAGGCGGCGGGAGCTGAGGGACCTGCGAGAACTGAATCAGAGGACCTGAGGGTATTTTCCCAGCAGGGACTCTCCGATGTCTAAGTTAGCATTCTGATTACAGAGAGATTGGGGAGAAATGAGAGAGCTAGAGAGCAGGGGTTACCATCCTTTTTTTCCCCCTCCCTTTGGCTTTGGGGGTCGGAGTCCTTATATAGTGGTGTCCTCGCGGGTTAGGTGGGTGAAAAGCCTTCAAACGGTAAGACTCGTCAGAACCGGGGTACGGTGGTGAACTCCTCAAGGTTGTCAGGCTGGCGCTTGTGTCAGGCGGCCAAGTCGGCGCCTGGGCCAGGTTGTCAGGTCAGCGCCTGTGTTAGTCGGCGGGTCGGTGTCTGGGCCAGGTTGTCAGGTCAGCGCTCGTGTCAGTCGGTGGGTCAGTGTCTGGGCCAGGTTGTCAGGTCGGCGCCCGTGTCAGTCGGCGGGTCAGTGTCTGGGCCAGGTTGTCAGGCTGATCTTCCTGCGATACGCCAAACTACTCTTTTGTACCGAGCTACCCTACAAGTGGCGAGCTGCCCGGGGGAGCTATGCCGAGCTACTTGTGGCGAGATTTGCCGAGTTGCCTGACTCCTTGGTGGCGAGGTCCTTGGAGAGCTGCCTAGCTCCTTGGCGAGCTCTTTGGTGAGATACCGAGCTCCTTGCCGAGCTCCTTGGTGAGCTACCGAGCTCGCGGGGTATGCCGTTATGGTTCATCGGTGGGCGTCTTATGGGTTGCCAGGTCAGCCAGGTCGGATCATGTGCCAGGCTGATCCAGGTCGGC